AATGTGAGTATATGTGAGAGAGTGTGTGAGATAGTGCGTATGTTTAGAGAGAGTGTCTGTGTTTGTGAGAGAGGATCTGTGTCTGTTAGAGAGGGTCTGTGTTTGTGTGAGAGAGTGTCTGTGTAAGAGAGTGGAGAGTGCCTTTGTGAGAGAGTGTCAGTGTTGTGTGTGTGTGTGTGAGGGAGTATGTGTGCGTATGGCTTGGAAAGTGTAGGAGACGGAGTGTTAATTAACAAAAACAACTTTTAATAAACATTTTTGTATACAATATACACATACACATATATATATATACATATATATATATATGTATATACACATATATATGTGTGGATCTATGCATATATAAATATAGTCACAAATAGTCGTTACACAAATAAGCCACAAACTGTACAACAATTTTGTACATGTACAATAAAAAACTTATACACAAAAACCCTTAAATTGCATCAATTCGATTTTCGATATCATTTTAATCGATATTCATCGAGAGCGTTACGATTACGACGGTTTCAAAGTATCTTGCTAGGCTATTTAATTCTTTCTATTTATATATATATATATTTATATCTTTTTTTTTATTCATATATCGATATCGAACATACACACACGATGATTCAGTTTGGTTTTTTTTTGTTTTTTCGTATATAACAAGAACGGTTATTTGTTATTATTTATTAGTTTATTAGTTTACTATACAAATGTCTCATGTTTTGAATGCACAATTTGCGCATGTCAACATAAGTTTATTTACTTTAATTTAATTTAATTTAATTTAATTTAGTTTAGTTTTTTTTTTCATTTACTGAGAACACAGTTTACCATATATAAATATTTAAAGCTTTGGTGGCGGCAAAAAAGTGAAGAAAATGTCAATTTTTTCGTATAAAAGCAAAAAAGAAAAAATTCATCAAAAATAGAAAAATCAAGGATTTCCGTTTAGTTACGAGTTAGACGACGAATTGAAGACCGCTTTAGTATATTATAAATCTTGTTTTTGTTTTTCCCACTTGCTTTCGCTTTATACACATACATACATATACAACCGAAAGGTTAACAACTAACAGAAATCAATAATAATTAACAGTGTTTTTTTTTTTAGTTTTGCGTTTTGATTTGTTTTGGTTTTTAGTTTTTGTTTTGTTTACCAAAAATGAGGCAAAGTCGTCGTAATCATAATCATAGTCATAATCATAATCATATCTCATACAATATATATATATATATATATATATATATATATATATATATATATAAGCAAATAGTACCGAACTTTACAAGTTTTGGCAGTACGCAGTTTGTTGTATTTTATTTGAAATTTTCTCATTTCTTGTAATTGTTTAAAATTATGCAAATATACAATGTTGTTTGTCATCGTTTTTTTTTTTTTGGTTTTCTCTTTTCTTTTCTCATAAATCGTAAAGCATTTATGATTTATTTATTTTGTTATTAAAATATACTCATAACGCGCTACTTAATTGTTTAAAAAGTTTTTAGTTTTTTCTTTTTTTTTTTTTGTATATTAACTAATATTAATAAACAAATTTTAACATTTCTCGTTCAACAGTTTTTTTGGTATTTTTTAAATTCTGTTTTTTTTTTCTTTTGCCAAATTGTTTTTCTTTTTTACTGATCGCACCCAAGAACTCGAACTAAAACAATCCGAAACGATAAATAAATTTAAATAATTAGCCCAAAGAGTGTAAAGAAGACGGAAATTGCTTTCTTTTTGCTTTCTTTTCGCTAGTTATAAACAATAAACATTTGTAGGTTATGTACAGCTTTTCGGCGACTTGCTTGCATTTCAAGATGGCGTATAATCCTACGTATGCATGTGTGTGTGTGTGTAGTTGTAGTAGTAGTTGTAGTGTTGTTAATAGTACTGCGCTTTCGGTGTTGGATACTGGACCTGTCTGCATTATCCTGATCCTGTTGATCGTTTAGTTAATTACTAATGTTCCGATTTAGTGCTCATTTAACTTCTATCACTTTTCGTTTGTTAATTTAAATTTTTTATCCATTTTTTTTTTTAATATTAATTCTTGTTCTTTTTTTATGTAGTAAAATACAATTTGACTAAACAAAGTTCTTTCGTACAATATTTGTTGCGGAAATTTCAAAGTTCTTTTGGGTGTTATTTTTGGTAAAAAGATTTAGGGGAAGTGGGCGGAGTAGGGGAAGGGGAAGGGGAAGGGGAAGGGGTAACAGGTTCTTGTGACAACACTCATTTTAGCTAGTTTTAGTATGTATATTATGTGTATAATATAATGCATTTCTTGCTGCTCGTCATTTTACTTGAATGCTCAATTATATTTCGTGTTTATTTTATTTGCATTTTTTTTTAGGAATTTTTAATCATAATTTCTCCTTTTCTTTTTCCTGCAATAGAAACAAATTGCAAAATCGCATGAGTCAAGAGATTTGAGTCAAATTCAAAGTTCAACCAAAAAAAAACTAAATGCATGGGGTTCGGCAATCAATCAATCAATCAATCAATCAATTAGTTAAATCTCATAAAATACATGACAGGAAAATTTACGTTTTGAGACAAACAAAAAATCATAAATTCAAAAGTACATTAAACGAAAAATTTCATAATTTTCTATACTTTTTTTCTTTTTTGGTTGCATTTTTGTTGTAGTTGTTGTTGTTGTTGTTGTTGTTGTTGCTGGTACAAATATTAGGCTACTTGTTGTTAATATTATTATTGTTATAGTTGTTGTTGTTTTCGGTTGCTTTGCTGCACGAACGCTGGGTTTTCATTTTGATAGGTGGAATTGAATTGATTTTTGCAACTGTAATTTCTTTTTGAATAGCGAGCGATAGCGACAACAATCGATTCAATCAATCAATCAATCAATCAATCAATCAAGCTGCAGGCTGTTGCATTTACCTATTTAACTTATGCATTAATTATTTACTTATTGCGAATTTTATCAACTACGGCATACGGCATACAATTTTGCGACAATTGTTAGTTTTAGACGTTTTGGTTTGGGGGAAAAATAAGAAAAGAATGAAATACAATTTGATTAGCTTTTCATGATAATTAGCTAACACAAATGCTTTCTTGGCACTACGAATACGACGATTACGTCTATGAAAAGCTCAACTGAAAAAAATAAAAAATAAAGCACAACAAATCAATAAAAGGAAGCGCTTTAGCACATGGACACATCGAGATGGTTGCCAAAAAAACGAGCCCGAATTTGGTTTGGGCTCAAATTCTGTACTTGCGAGTTAATACTGTTGCGCACATATATATACATACATACATATATATATATATATATACATCTACATGTTTTTTATACAAGTGTGTGTGTGTGTGTGTGTGTGTCTGGGCAGATCGATCTCTATAAGATATAAAGCCAAATCAATATCGGTTTTCAAATTATACAGACAGAGAAGACATTAAAAATGCGTGTATTTCAATTGTTTTTTTTTTGTTTAATTTACATTTGTTGTTGTTGTTTTTTTATTCTTTTTGTAGAAATCAAAATCTCAAAACGCACAAAATCATAAGCGAACAAAATAGCACAAAAGTATTTCATATAAATTTAAATGTAATTCTAATAATAAAAGACGGCAAAAATCGGTTGTAAACATAGCGGTAAACATATATAGAAATCTATACACGAAATTATAATAAAATCAAAAACAATGTAAAAAGGCAAACTGAAAAGGAAAACTGAAATAGAAACAAAAAGTGCGCAAAGAAAACAAATACTTTTCTGTGTGTGTGTGTGTGTTGTGTGTGTGTGTAAATGTAAATGTATGTGTGTACAGACTAATTAGATATAGGCGCTCGCAGTGTGCTCTACAAATTACAATCGAGAAAAAACGAAAAAGAAATAATAAAAACCAAAGTAAAGAAAAACAACTGCAATTAAGAAAAGTTTGCTTTAATCTAGTTTTTAGCCGTGTGTGTGTGTGCTTGTTGTTGTTGTTGTGTGTTATTGTTATAAACAAAATTTATTGCCAACTTGTGTTTTAAGCTTAGATAGTCATAATAATATACATAAGTAACGATATAGATTGATAAACTTTGCGTGTGTGTCGTGTGTGTGTGTGTGTGTGTGTGTGTGTAGTTCACTTTCATTCAAGGCGTGGCTAATTATTTAAATTAGAATTAAACAATAAGTACTTAAAACAAAGTTCATAACATGTTTTTTTTATATTTTTGTTTTGTTTTGTGTTTTCTTCTACTTTCCGATTCTTAATAATGCACTCGATAAAAAACGGGAAATTTTTGCGGGCAACAGTGAAAAAAGAAAGAAAAAAACGAAGAAAAAAAAGCGCAGCAAACAATAAAAGTTTTTTCTTTTATAAACAATTTTTTCGACATTGAAATCATAAGGCATACTTTTACATATATATATATATATACTTGTATAATTAATATATAGTATTTATATGGCTATAAAACTACGCTCAGTGTGTAAGTGTGTGTGTCAGTGTGTGTGTGTGTGTGTGTACCTGTGTGTGTGTGTGTGTGTCTGTCAGTTTTTAAGCACAAATTGTGTTTGTTTTTTCTTTCGTTTAGCACACAGTTGAATTTACTTTTGTTTTGTGTTTGTTTTTCTGGGCAGCACATAAACAATAAATTTAATTAAGTTTTATTTTATTTAATATTTTATATATTTAATTTTTATTTTTGTGGCACGCAAAACCTGAGCCAGCGTCTAAATAACTTGTGCACTAAATCATAGTTAATATGTATTCATTTATGTTATAATACAAAAAATAGAGCAAATATAAAAATTTATTATTATTATTATTATTTTTGTTTATATTTTTTTTTTAGCTGGACTTTTTGTTGTGCGCGCCACACACAACAAATTATTTGTGCCTTCATTTTGTTGTTGTTGTTTTTATAAATTGTTAACTAGGAAAATTTTGCTAAATTTGTTGCTGCTGCTGCTGTGTCTGTGTGTAAGTACGTCGCTTGTGTGTGTGTGTGTGTGTGTGTTGTTTGTTGTGTGTGTGTGTGTTGTTTGTTGTGTGTGTGTTGTTTGTTTGTTGCGCATTTGCGAATGCAGCTTCAAACGTCTTTAATTTGCAGTTTTATTAACTAAAGTGTAAATTTTTTGCTGCATTTCAAAATGTTGTTACAATTATTTGGTGTTGTTGTTTGTTGTTGTTGTGGACTGCTTGTTGTTGTTGTTGTTGATTTCTTGTGTGGTTGTTGTTGTCGTTGGCAACTTACTGTTCTTGGGGATCAGTATCACTCTCCTCCAGCTCGCTCTTGTTGCGTCGCTTCTCGTAGATGAGAATGATGAGGCAGAGAATCAGGACCTCGGCGCAGATGCCCAGGAAAGGCCACAAGGCGGCGAATTTGCCTGGCAACAGGAAAAGAAACGAAACATATATATAATATCGATCTGGCTAATATCAGCTGCATATAGGACTCACCCTTAACACGAACGGTTGTAAAATCGGTGGCAACGGTGCTATTGCCAAAGTCATTGGCCTCGTTACGTCCGTGGCACTTGAACTCGCCTCTGTCGTCGAGGGTCACGTTCTCGATCATTAGAATTGCATTCTCAATTTTATTATCATCCGATTTTAGTATATAACGATCTGTGCTGTTTGTTATATTTGTGTAATTGCCTGCCAAAAAGAAATGTAAGAAATCAAAAGTTAATATCAAAATTTGTTTAAGTTAATTTCATTTGCACAAACATTTTTCTTTTATTTCTTAATGTATTTCATTTTAATTAAAAATATTATCCTTTCAATATCTTCCATAGTTTTGTCTTTCTTGTCAAGCCACAGAATATGAACTTCTTCTGTTGCTTCTTCTTTCTTTTACGAAGCATGCTGCGTTGCAATTCCCAACTAGTTCAAGCTTCGAGCAACTGGGCAGAGCATGTGCAAGCCTGTAAGGTTCGTGAAGTAGCCTAGACTAGCCCTGTTTATACCCTTGCAAGGGGTATTATGGTTGTGTCATTAAATGTGTAACGCATGGAAGGAAACATCTTCGACCCTAAGGTTCGTCTTTTTCTTGCAGGCAGTATACATATTGGAACTGGCCGGATCGGACCACTTTATCATATAGCTTCCTTAGGAACTATGGGTCGAAATGTAGATACTTGTATGGATAAACTCTGCATTTATTATCTTGACTATGCTTCCTACATATATGCAAAATCCTATCAACATCGGAGCACTGTATCATATAGGAACACGATCGATAAATAATTAGGTGCTGGCAACTTTTTAGTTTTTCAAGATATCTTGTTACTTTTTCAAGATATCTTGTCCAAACTGGACATTTATAAGTCTCACTATGCTTCTCATACATATACCAAAGCTTCTTAACATCGGACTACTATATCATATAGCTGCAATAGGAACGGAACGATCGACCGAAAAGTGGGTTCTGCTATGGAAACCTTTTTTTTATGTAGATAACTTGAGCAAACTCGACATTTATAAGTCTTACTATGAATATAATATATATATATATACCAAGTCTTAACATCGGACTACTATATCATATATCTGGCATATTAACGTTCGCTATGTCAACACATTCTATTTTCCCAAGATATTTTCATCAAGCTCAGCACTTACGAGCTTTACATTTGCAAGGCAACAAGGCAAGCTTACTAGAAAGTTGATTCATATAATTAAGTATCTAACTGAGCTTCGCTTCCTTTTGTTGTTAATGGAGAGACTTAAGAATATGAGAGAAGATATTATAGATCTGTTTAGCCGAAAATATAAAACATACTTTTTAAGCTTCCTCTGTATCGAGTTCAACTCTAAACTATATATATTTATAAGTTATATATAAAATGAATTTAAATTTGTGTTGTCGTTTTTGTTTAGCTTGAAGATATGTGGAAGATATGGAATGGCACTCACCAAAGCTCCATGACAATCGGGGATTGCTACCGACAACTGTGCAGGGGATCATCATTTTCTCACCCTCGACAACACCAGTATTTGAAGGCACTCGTACGACCACGCGAGCTAATTAACAATAATAATTAATTGATAATAATCAAATTTATTAATATTTGATGCGACTTACCGATCACGTGAATATCTCTGGACACGCCCTTGAACTCACAAGTATAGAGGCCGTCGTCGTGAGGTTCCGCTCTGTCAATTATGAACTTTCTTTCGGGATGGATCAGTTTGAAGCGACCTCTCAGACTTAGCACGTCCGTCACATTGACGCCATCCTTTTTCCTGTCGAAAACACATTGAGAATAAGTTTAAGACATAATGTTGTATTTAAGACACAATCGATAGTTGCGTCAACTCAAATATCGATAGTTTATAGTTGCTTGAACACAAATATCGATAGTTTTCTGAATGTAAATAGTCGCTTGAACACAAATATCGATAGTTTACTGAACAAGTTCTGCCTTACGAAAAAAGTCCTTAAAGTTATCGATCATGGGGTCATATGTTTATCGATTAAAGCCTTCTTCTGTTATCTGGTTAAAACTATCGATAACTGCTCAAACAAGGTTTTGGCTTTCGATATAAAGTTTTTGAACTATAAATAATCATATATTGTCATATGTTTATCTATTATTTTATATTCAATTAAAGCCTCCGACTGCTATCTGGCATAAACTATCGATAACTGCTTTAACTATCGTTCACATTAGTACGAACTCTTTACAAACATTTTGCTTATTGATTTTCTACATTGGATTACGGCTGTCTATTAATCGACTTTCAAGGCTTGAGTAATCGATAAAAATATAATGATTGAACGATATTTTCGATGAGTGTGCGAACTATTTATTTTATCCTTTTTCCCGGAATACGTAAGTGTTTTGTAATCGTTGGAGAAGGACTACTCCTATTGTTGGAAGCAGAAGGACCTCTTCTCTCGTTAGCCAAATTCCAAATTCCTTTTGTTTTCGTCAAGAACTTTGGTGGCAATTATTCAGGACTAATTCAACATGAGGCACGCACGCAAAGCGTCGGACCTGGCCAAGGCCCAGGCCCGGGTCCGGGTCCGGGCCCAAGCCCCGAGACCAGGCGACCGACACAAAGTGTCATTACCATTACGAGCCTGCTTCACACTCGCACACACACCCGCGCACACACTCGCACAAACTAGAGTCGGAAGAGGCCCACTCCCGGCAAGCGGGCACAAGTCTTTCCGTCACTTTTTGGTACAAGCCCGCATTAACCCGTAACCCGTAACCCGTGTTCCTCCAAACTATGCTATGCTATGCTCTCCAGGTTACGTCAGTCAAGTGGTCGGTTAGGGGGCGGGGCGGGGGGTTGTTGGTGGGTTGGCGGTCGGCAACATAATTAAGCAAAAGTGCTTAGCTGTGCCATATTAAAATGATTGCTCTTATAACTGCCAACTAGTATGCTGAGCCAGGGGAGCTGCCTGCCTGCCTGCCTGTCTGTCTGTCAGTTCCTGTTGGCCAGTGTTGTGCAACACTGCTAGAAATTCGTTACAGTTTTCAGTGTTTCTAAGGGCTTCAAATTGCAACTAGTTGTGGGATTTAATTCAATTTTCCCCATTTAAGTTAACAAATTCAAGTTTTTCTTCTGAAATTGACAACTAAATAATCCCAAATTTCTTGGCCAGTGTTGCGCAACACAGCAAGAAATTCCTTTCAGTTTTCAGTGTTTCTTGTTCAAGTTTTTCTTCGGAAATTGACAACAAAATAATCCCAAATTTTGTACAGTATGAGTTTCTTTTTGCTAGTGTTGTGCAACAACAAATTCTTATCAATTTTAAGTTTTTCTAAAGGCTTTTATTTGCAACTAGTTGTGGGAATTAATTCCATTTTCTTGTTTAAGTCAACAAATTCAAGTTTTTCTTTGGAAATTGACTGCAAAATACCCCAAAATTTCTTGGCAAGTGTTGTGCAACACTGCAAGAAATTCTTTTCAGTTTTCGGTGTTTCTAAATGCTTCAAACTACAATTAGTTGTGGGATTTACTGAAATTTTCTCATTTAAGTCAACAAATTAAAGTTTTTCCTTTGAAATTGGCATCAAATTAAGCCCAAATTTCTTACAGTATACGTTATTGTTGGGTGTATTTAATTTGGATTTACTTGGACTTACCATATGAGTGGATCATCGGACTCCACATTTTTCACATTGCAGCTGAGCACAAGCGGCGTTCGGATATCGTAAAATCTCATTTGACGCTCCACATGGTCATAATTTGGCACCAAGGAATCTGGCCCTGAATTTGAAAAGGATGACATGAGCGAGAGAGAGAGAGAGAAAATAAACAAGAGAGAAGACATGAAAATTAGTGCAAATATTTACCAATAAAAATATATATACAAATCGTATGTAATATCAAAGAGTAGGAGAGGCAACAACGTTTACATAAATAAATGCTTAAACAAATTTATATCTAAATAGTTATGCATATCAAAAAAACGAAGAGAAAAAATATAAATAAATATATGGTCTGAATAGTATGGCATAAATATTACGAGTATTTGTAGATAAATTCGAGAGGCGAGCGCTTAATATATATGAGAGGTACGGGTAGAGCTAGGGGTACGGGTAGGCGTAGGGGTTTCTGTGGGCGTGGCTAGCGCAGGTTTCTTTATTCGTATTTGTTTTTTGGGGTTCTGAGAGCAAGAAATGAGCTGAGATGTTGTTTCGATTTTGTCAATTGGACACTTTTCAAAAATCTAATTAACGAGTACTTAACAATTAAATAAAATTAAAAGCTAAACAACTGCAACTTAAGAAAAATTGTTACACACAATTTCTAGTTGTACCAAAAAAAATAAATATAGCTATATAAATGGCAAAAACGACACAATTTGAATTACAAAAATTCAATAGTTTATTAAAGGGCCCACATATATAAATAACCCAAATAGTAAAAAGAAACTAAAACGATTGAAATAAATAAAAACAGCATACAATAATTTGTTTATTGGTGAATTTCGAATTTTATTTCGCCTAAACATACATATGTAGTTATATATTTGTAAAATGATATTTATTTTTTTATATATATATTTCATTTAACTTGGACTGAAATCAAATAAATTTGATTTACGCGACGTATATGTAATTTATGTAAATGTATTTAATTCGTTTTTCGGTAATTACAATAATTAATTTAATTACTTTTAAAATTAGCTGCAAATGGAGCAATAATCGTTGTTTGGTATTTAAATACTAAATATTGTCTATCGAAATGCGCAAAGCAAGGCAAAGGCAAAGGCAAAGCAAAAGCAACAGCGAACAAATTCGATAACCGATAAATTGTTGGCATAACACACATACATATATGCATGTATTCGCTTTTTCCTTATCGGCAAAAAAAGAGAGAGAGAAACGAAAATAAAATAATAAAACAAAAGGCAATAAACATAAGGTCGCGGTTACACAGCCATTGGGGCTAAAGCAACACGGCTTATCACAAGCGGCTGAGAGCCAATTCAGAATTACACATGAATTTAATATGCGTCAACAAAATGGCTGCCAATCAATCAAATTCAAGATATGCAGGCAGATAGAGCGAGAGAGTGAGAGAAAGAGAGAGAAAGAGAGAGAACGAGTAGAGCGCTGTGCACCTGCCACCGGTGTGATTCAAAATCAGAGGTAAACAACTTAAATATATAAATTGAGTAAAATATATGTATATATATATATAGCAACAATGACAACAACAATAGCGACACACACAAATGAAATCCAAAATTGTTACACATAAATAAATCAAAATATATGTCAAGCAACAACTATTAAAAGCAAAACTTAAAGTTTGCCTGTATTTATCATGTATGTGTATGTGTGTGAGTGTGTATATGTGTGTGAGAGGGGGAACAAGGTTAAGTAACGGCGAATTGTCAAAGCCTGAGAGAGCTATCGAGCGATTAACGATTAACAACACCAAAATAGTCTGACGATGTGGGAGTTTGAGCAATGTGAGACGTGCTGATAACGATAGAGGAGAGCGAGAGCGGAGCGAGAGCATGGCAAGCGAGTACGGGCAAAAGAGCGAGGCTTAGACGAAAAAAAACTGGACGAAAGTGAGTTTTAATGCGAGCGCAATGTGTGAACTTGCTGATGTTGTTGTTGTAGAGTCAAACAAAACAACAACAAAACGAATGACTGACTGAAGGGTTTATTGGAGTTTGTATGTTTGTGTAGTTTGATTGTAAATGATCGCTCAGTTCACTTAAGCGGTTCAGTGAACCAACAAATTGTTTACTTGAGTTTCAATTATCGTTCAGTACCAGTTCTAGTTCAAATTACTCACGTAGTTCACTTGTTCATGTGGAAGCATAGTTTGGCTACACTATGCAACAGAAATGAGCAAATTTCATGTGCTCATTTGTAATTTAATAAATTTGTTAAAAAAAAATCCAATGATCATAAACATAAACTATTCGTACTCAAATGAACTACTGCACAAACTTTGTACTCAAATATTTTTTCATAATTTTTATTTTTTTGCAAGTGTGTTGAAATGTTGGTCACCACACAAAGTATACAAATTGTGCTTGAGATTTTGAGTGAACTTTGAATTAGAGTGTTGTTTTATGTGTGTTTTTGAGTAACTTTTTTACTGACTGAGCTGGAGCTGCATAATGTGATGTTGAGTGGAATATGTATATATTATGTTGGTATGTGAGAGGTAATGTGAGAGTGTGTGAGTGTGTGTGTATGTGGCTCACCCTTTTTAATAGGCATGAACGTCTTGGGCTGCTGCTGCATTAACCCGAAGTTGTTGCTGTTGTAGCTGGTGGTCAGCGCGGTGGGCGCTGCTGTAACGGTACTACCACCACCCAACGCTGGCGGTATAAATTGCGGTGCATACGTCTGATATTTTTCATTGTAATGCTGCTGCGCTGGATGCTGCGCAGTCGGCTGATGTGGCTGCGGTGGCAGCGGCAGTTGAAAAGCGTTAAGTGCATGCTGCTGCTGCTGTAGCTGCTGCTGCACCTGCTGCTGCTGATGGTGCGCATGATGATGCGCCGTGGCGGTGCTGCTGCCGACTGTGGCAGAGGCAGCGGCAGCAGCGGTGGCGGTGGCGGTGGCAGTGTCCATTGACGACGGGTGGCGATAATGCGGCAGCGTCTGATTGTACAGCTGTATGGTGGGCGGCTCGGGTGGCGCCACCGTATGCTCCAGCAAAGTGAGACGAGGCGGCGGGAAATCGGGTGGCGTGGCCGAATAAATGCGATGAATGGAGCCCATGCCGCCGCCGACGCCTTGGCCCGCGCTCGTTGCGTGCCACGGCAGCGTGGTCAGATCGTTGTATTTACGCGTCGGCGCCGGCGGCTCATAGCCAAAGCCAAAATGGCTGCCATAGCCGATGCTGGCGTTGCCCAGATGCTGCTGCTGATTGTGCTGCTTATGCGTGGGCGCTGCCGGCAGCTGCGGCAGCTGCTGCTGCTCCTGCCACGTGCGCGTAAAGATCTCGTCCGGCGAGCTGGGCGTCAGCTCGTCTATGGTCCGATAGCCGCTCTCTGTGGGCGACTCCTGCTGCTGCTGCTTGCTGCGCACGTGCAGCATGTGGTAGCCGCTGTTGTGCCGATAATTGTTGTTGTTGCACTGATAACGGCCCTCGTGCACCTTGAGAGCGTGCCGCACCTTCAGATGTGCCTCGATTTTGTGCTTCTCGCCTGAAGAGTTGTTGTTCCTTAATTGGCTGCTTCTTCATCTTCTTCTTCTTCATCAGCTATACTCACCCTCAATGGCGCTCTCCGAGAGCGTGTACGCGTGCTCGTCGTGGCCGTGCCGCAAATTGTGCCGTGTTATCGACTCGCCATTCTTCAGCCAGTGTATCTTCTCGGTTATCGGTATGACACAGGTTATCGAAAATGGCTCGCCGATATTCACGTTCGCATCGCCATAATAAACAATCGGCGCTGTCGCGAGTGCAAACTCTGCCGACTCGTCGCTGTCATTCGCAATGACACTCGCTGCATTTGCATTTGCATTTGTTTTTATTCGAAATTCATTTCAGGTCACAAATTTGCATATACATATATATATATAAAACACACACAGAGCAAAAAGGTTACAACAAATCGATATTTTCAAATAGCGACAAAGAAGGGGGTGGGGTGAGAGGGGGGGGAGTGGGGCAGCACAACACAGTGTAGGCGATCGCAATTGAAAACCATAATCGAAAATCAAGAAAACATTAAACAATTAACAATACCAAAAGAAATAAACGACTATGTGGACTGTTTTTGCCAGGTTTAATTAGTCTTTTACAATCATCCATTAAATATGCTTACGATCCGATACGATTTGTGTCTGTGTGTTTTTTTATCGGTTACTTTTGTTTGCTTTTTTTTCGTTTTTATATGTGTTTCCAGTATTCGGATTATTTGATTTCAGCGCCAAGTTGCAAAAATATTTATGTATGCATCAATTTATCTATTCTAAATGTGTCGTAAATCTTAAAAAACCAAATTTTGAAAAAACCAATTACCGAACTGAAGCAACAAAATTGAAATTATAAATAAATGGTGTGTGAATGATTCACTAATTAACCTAAAATGTTTTGTTTATTTTGTAGAATGTTTAGTTGGTTTTAAATCTTATATGTAAGGTATTTAACAATTAAGTTATTTCGATAACTATCGATACGTATCGATGTACATCAGACGCTTTAATTAGATTAAAAGTAATCGATAATTATCGAAGACCTGTGCTAAAATTAAAAAGCTTTGTGTTCGAGTCTACAACCCTTTGAATTGCAATTATAATTAAGCTAAGTTATCGATAAATATATATATACATATATAGCAAATGCTGCATAGGCATCGACTTTATATTTTCTTTTCAATTAATACTATATTTTCTTTTCTGTACACTCATCTCGGGTCCAAGCCCTGCCTTCACATGCTGACAACGTGATTTTGATATTGTTTCATTATACAACACTGGACTGTGACAATTAACGTATGTCCGACTTCTGACGCAAACCATTTAAATTCATCATCAAATTGATTAAAATCAACTCGTCATTCTGTAGGGCACAAATGTCGGTACATTCATACATACATACATATCTATGTATATATGTATGTATGTGGTCATATCTACATAACGGTCATTGGGGGTGACGTCAATGCTGTCCAGTTTGAACTGCAAACTCCTAAGCCTTGATCGCACACACTCACTCACTCGCTATATAACTGTATATACACAGTTAGTTGGCCATGTGCCGCTTTTTTTGAGAGCAAACGAAAATATTTTATCAGCCAAATGGCTTATCAGAGCAACGGTAACGGTAACAAGTACTTTTGTTGGCAACAAATAAGGAAAGGCTAATGTGATAATAAATTTGTTGGCTTGTTGATTGTTGCCCGTGCGAAATGATAAAGCCGCAATCTTATCAGTTGTTTCAACGAGCCAACGGACATAGTCTTTATGTGACTGCATGTCAACACAAAACTGGGTGATTAGACATGTGCACACACACACACATACATACATATATATGTATGTATGTACACATGAGTAGATGTGATTATTTGCCTTCCCTTTTCAGCTGACACTTTTATAGCAAATTAAGCGCAAAAAGATTGCACACAGCACAATTTCATTTACAAGCAACAAGAAGTCCCGTCTCCCTTGCACCCCCAGCTGTAAGCATTTTCGTCTGTTGCTGTCACTTTGGACAGCACTCAAACACACGCACACAAATTACATTAACATAGAGCATATTGCAGCGCAAAAGAGAGTGGGACGCGAAGCGTGCCGAAAAGTATTATAAATTTATACAACACCAACATACACACACGTGCGCGTATAACACACCTTAACATTTTTTGCAGCACGGCTCACGCTCACCACAAACACACACCCTCACTCTCTGCCCCTCTCTCTTTTGGGTTCTAAGGCTCTCTTTTTGTCTAGTTATACACTTGTAAGCCCAAATCGTTTAACCGCTGCGGCTGTTGCCGATTGTTGTTCTTGTTATTGTTGTTGTTGTCAGTGACAAGAAATTTATGGTTTATTGCTTGTTCATGTAGCATAGTTTTTGTCGCATTCCTTGTGCCAAATAGAAGAAAGAGCATGCGAAAGCGAGCGCCAACTAAAACTTTATTTAATCAAATTTATGGCTGCCAGCACATACATGCATGCATACATACATACATATGCATGTCCCTCTCGCACTGCCGGCCATCGCAACAGATGAATAGCGCACTCGTGACATATTGTTATTGGCATTTGTTCGCATGTGTGTGCTTTGTGTGTGTGTGTGTGTGTGTGCTAACGCTCATTACATTTTCATTTTAAATGTTCGTTTTGGTTTTATTATTTTTTAATGAACGCATTGAGCTTTAGTGCAACAAATGGCCCCCTTGTTATTGTTGCAGTTGAAAATGTTATAGCCAAAGGCAATTAAAATATTTACACAGAGAATTTGCGAAAAATATAAAAAAAAAAAACATAAATGCCGCTACACCGAAAACAAAGTGCGCTCATACAGAGAATTTTCAACAAGCAATAAGAAAGAAAAAAAAAAAAAAATTAATTAACACGAAACAAAATTGATTGCGCCTATATTATGTAATTGTCTGTTTATGCGAGTGTGTGTGCGTGCGTGTGTGTGTGTGTATATGCTTTTATTTTTAGCAGGCGTTGTGCACGTGAAAGCACACAGTTTGAGAGGCATGTTGTAAATGATTTTTAATGACACTGGTGAGCGCAATTTTGTGTTGAAGGTTAATAAAAATAGAAAAAATAAAATATATTTTATAAAAATAAATAAAATAAATGCAGTGATTAATGATACAAGGCGCCAAGTGCATACAGATGCATGCTTATGGGCCTTCGCTGAAAAACGCCAACCGTGACTAAAATCTAAACAAGCCAAAAGCTCGGTTACACCCAATTGCGCAATACTCTGTGCACTCTAATCTGATCGATTGCCCAATTGCTCGATACCCTGTTCACTCTAATCTTATCGATTACCCAATTGCTCGATATTTTGTGCACTCTGTTATTATCGATTACCGATACCTTGTGCACTCGGTAGCCAAAAGTCGAAAACATAACTAATATACTCCTTTGTCAGTTTGCGAACAGGGCATAAAATCAATTATTTCAAATATTTGATTTCTTTGTATTTCGTTTAATAGTTTTCGTGTGACTATCATGTCTGTGCAAGCACACACACACAGACACAAACACACATACACATATAGGCACATATTGCGACCAATCGATCGAATTGATCGGTCAGTGAACGCACAACGTGAAATTCATTAAGTAAATTGCACGAAACACGCCAATTAATTGCAAAACAAAGCAATTTCAATCAAAAAAAAAAAAAGTTAATAAATAAAAAGAATCAACAACTGCAACAACAACAGTTGCTGCAAAACAAATACGAATAAAGCGCAAATGCAAACAGAGCGAGCGAGAAGGCCAGTGACAGGCACGCAAGTTAAACAAAGAGGGGACGCTCTGTTGCTGCACTGTGCACTTGACAGAGTGCTGTTAACGAGGGGGCACAGCCCTTCTAGTAGAGAATATGAGAAAAACTAAGTGCCAACTAACCATTATGATTATCGTGCTTATCATAAACAGACGGACAAATTATAAATATTTAAATACGCAACCGAGTTACTCGCTAAAACAAACAAAAGCGTTTTAAAACGGGCTGTGGAATAAAAGAATAATATCAGCAGCAGCAGCTACGCCGACAGCGACTGCGACTGCGGCTGCGACGTCGAGTCATGTGTCAGGGCAGAGCGTGTGTATGTGTGCCTTATGCATGTGTTCGTGCTTGTGCGTGTATATGTGTGTGTGTGTGTGTGTGTGTGTGTGTGCGACATGCTGCTGGCTGCTGTAAATTGAAATAAAAAATTGTTTGTCTATTTTAAAATTAGCAATAGCAACCAAAATGAAAATGACTAGGCGTCTGAGCGTCCGTGTTCTATACACTCACTGCCGCTCTGCCCCCTCCCCCCCTTTCTCTCTCACACTCTCTCTCACGTGTGTGTGCGTTTGTGTATAAAAGTTTTGCAGTTTTTGCCCACAGCAACAACAACCAGTGCTGCCACGTTAACTTGTTTTCCGCATAATCTGGCATTAATCTAGCTTTGGCGGAACATTTTGATTTGGGACCTTTTCAAAAGGTCAAAAGTTGTAGACTCTATTTTATGTTATAGGCCAAATATTTTGTTATTAATCTATATATGGAAGGTTGCTTGAGTTAAAGCTTCTCAAAATTAAGAAGATAACTGAATAAATAAAATATCGAGTCATATATTCTGACTTCCTACACTGTTTCTTAGCTTTTTTCTAACCGTTTTTTGCCTCCCAAATCAAGCTAATTTAGCTTCTCAAAAGTTGGCAGCACTGACAACAACATGTATTAAAATTGTAAACGTATTAGAACGCAAGAACTTGAAAAATATATTTGATTTGTATTTTGTTGGCTTTTTCTGGCAATACACATTAAAGATTTAAGCAAACAAACATTAACAAAACACTTGTTTAACGTTTTCAAGTATGTTGAAAGCCAAAAAGAAAATAGAAAAAAAAATCAAATTATATACATATTTAGTTTGTTGTTGTTGTTGTGAACTTCTACGTCAGTCTGCGGCGACTGGTGTGTACATAAATATTCTGTTTGCCTTGCAGTTGTCTAATTAAACGAAATAAACATTAGCTAAATTTAATTTCCAGCTCTCAAGCGATTTAACTTGAACCAATTCGATTACCGCACAACAGTTGTGCAGCAACTGGAGCGACTGACTGTGTTGATGATCGCGGCGCACAGTTTGAGCAGCTTGGAATCGCAAACGTCAGCTGGCTGGGCTGGCGCATTGCTGATACAATAAATAATGCAGAGAAAACATGTCAGACAGTTTTGAATATTTCATACGGCCTTCTTCTTTTCTATTTTTTTTCTTCATTTGCTCGTGCCAGACATTTATGTCAATTATTATTG